ACAAAAATACTGTCTTACCCCAGGTGGCAGTTGGGTTTCACCTGCATTTGTAGTAAACCCAACCTTTTAAATGGAGATGAAATAACTGTTTTTATAAAGTGGTTCTTTTGAGCCACCTTCTCTAGCCTGGTGCAGGTTAAACTGGAAGTGCTGTGGCATCAATCACTTGCAGAAACTGCTTGCCTTGCTGATGGACCTGTGACTCTGCCAGCACACAGATGCTGATGGTAAAAGATTTCTTCAAGTGTTTCTCTTAACCTGCCCAGGAGGAACCACATTACCCCCTTGGCAACTTGCCCCTTTGTATCCTGTTTCCCAGGTCCATGGGGCTCAACAGAGCCAAATTCACTGATAACAACAGTACAGATCTTCAGCTGGGGTAGCTTCTAGTAAAACTGTGACATTAACATCTGTTTAAAAGCTGGTACTGATTAAAAACTATGTGCAATAAATAGTGCATTTCCATCGTGAGGCAGGGTTTTGAGAACACAGCTGTTCAGATCTTTCCTTTTGAAGTTATCTTTTCCCCCCGCAAGTAAGTGTCTTGTCTTCAGGGTCATGGGCTGGTCATCCCTGAACAGCTCTTCTTTAAGCCCTCATTTGTAGAAAGGTTAACTGGTGTCTCAGTAACCTTATTTGCTGGAAGAGCCAAGGGTTGTGTCTTGTGTCACCTCTTCCCTGCAGGTGTTTTTCCTGGAAAATGATGAGCAACATAATGGTCTGAGCGACCCAGCTGATCACAGCAGGCTGACTGAAAACGTGGCAAAGGCTTTCTGTTCAGCTCTCCGTCCCCACCTCAAGCTGCTGAAGGAAGATGGAATGACTAAGCTGGGTCTGCGTGTTACACTCGACTCAGATCAAGTAAGTCTTGAATAGTTTTGGTTTAACTGTTCCCTTGTTCATTGCTCAGAAAGGGAATACACACTTCAACCATTCCCTGGGTTAAAAAAGTACCACTGTCAGATGCCAGTGTCGTGGTGCTGACTGGTGTTTGGTGTTCTGGGCCATCTGTTAGAAAGGGAAGCTAGTGCCTACCCTGAATTAACACCAGGCTTGATCCCTGTGTGCCAGCTGGCAGCACCTGCTCTGCAGCCGGAGATCCAGGACCAGCCCTGTGAGCTGCAGGCCTGCCACATGCTTGAAGAAGGCTCTGAATTGGCCTTGGCACCAGCAATGAAAAGATGGGAGTGTAGGAAATGTATGATTGGGTGAGCACAAAGCATTCCCAAGCATGGGTGGTCTTAAAAGATCACACTGCATGTGAGACAGAGGAGCAGCTGGAAGGTCCCTTAGGGCGCGCTCTGCAGCAGAAGCCACAGGCAGAGATAAGGGAACAGGCCTTGCCCTGGAGTGGAGGTGTTCCTGGTGTCAGCCAGCTTTTAAACACTGCCTGAGTTAATCTGATAACGCAGGGGCGGTTCCTGCAGGTCTGAATGATCTGCTTTGACAAAGCAGGAGGGTGCTTCCGTGTAGGTGGCCTTTGGGAACCTAAAGGAGAACAAAAGGGGAAAAGCTTGCTAGTGCCTGCTAAATCCAACTTCCTGGGCAGAGGCCACAGCACCTGGCACAGCTCATCCTCCTGCCCACCAGACTGCCGCCTGTGTCCTCTTCTCTGTAAAACCCCCCTCTCACTTTGTATTTTTTAGGTTGGTTATCAAGCTGGGAGCAATGGACAGACACTGCCCTCTCAATACATGAACGACCTGGACAGTGCCTTAGTTCCAGTGATTCATGGAGGGGCATGTCAGTTGAGTGAGGGGCCAGTCATAATGGAGCTCATCTTTTATATTCTGGAAAACATCTCATAAGAGGACTTCATTTTCTGTTCAGACCTGTTCCAGCAGCAGTTGTATCTGAATCATTTGCACTTTAAAACTGGAAAATTAAGCTTTTTGTTAACACTATTGGGGAATGGGTGGGGGGGAGGAGGGAGGGACAGTTGTTCCATAACTCTAAATCTTCTATGCATTGTCAACAACCAGAGGATCAGGGCAGCTTCTATACTACAACATGGCTATGCTATCCTTGCAGCTAATACACTTCTGTTACTGTTTAGAGAAATGCTCATGTTTAAAGACTTACAGTCATGTACTCTAAATGCTCAAACGGGTGCGAAGGTCACTGGGGCATAAATAAAAAGTGAAACTCCACTCTTGGCCTGGTTGTAGATGGACACGTGAGAACCCCCGCTCCGACCTCGTCCTCATGGCGCTGGTGGCTGGGCTGCAGACGTTCAGAAGTCATGTTTACATTATTTTGACCAGATTATTGGTTGAAAGACATCTGGAGTGGCCCTGGAGAGACAGGGGCAGGGTACCCAGCCATAACTACATTGGTCGATGCCTCCAAAGGAGCAGGAGGGCAGGTGGGATTACGTAACCTGCAGTTTTGTGTGCGTGATAGGCTAGTTTCATTTTTCCCCCTCTATTTACTGTAAAACCCTGTCACCTCTGCCAGTTCCTATGATGGCTCCTAGAACAACTCTGCTATTATGTACTTTGTTTACAAACCTGTTACAAAGCAGAGGAAATATTAGCCCTAAAGTGTGGTTCTGTCTCATTGCTCTTCCCCAGTAGGTCCTGCTTTTAAAGAGAAGTAACGCCCAGGGCAGCTTCGAGTCTCCTCCCTGCTGTATGCTGTAGTGTAACGCTTGTGTCATGTAATACAAGGCAACTTCATCTTAGCAGCCCCACGTAAAAGCTTACCCATGCTAAAAGTCTAGAGTTGCTCTTTCCTGCATGTTCTGCTGAAAAAGAGGCTTTGTGGGAGCTCCCAACACTTGCACCTGGCCCAGCGCTCCTGGTCTCATTTGAGAGGGCTGTAGTAGGGAAAGAGAGACTCACTCAGAGACAGGAACTGTGTTTGCACCGTCTCAGTGGGAAGCTGCTCACCTGTGGCAAGAACTGAATGCAGGGTTAGGGGTTGGTTTGGTTAGCCATAGCCATGTGGAGCTGCTGGTTTGGGTCCCTCGCAGAAGGGGACGAAGGTTTCTTCTCCTGTCTGTGCAGAACGTTAATCTGGGAAGAGAGGTGCTCACTTCTGGTGACCCTCGCGCTGTCCCTACTCACAGTCCGTTCTGGTGGATGCAGCAGGGGTTACTTTGGGTTTGCTGTAAATGGGTAACACAGGTGCCCGTTCATACCCAAAGGGAAGTGTGAGGCTGATCTTTAACACATACACAGTATTAGCTGGGAAAAGGAAAAGGTAACTGCACATAGCAGTGTGTTATGCATAGAGTGCAGTGTATGTACAGGATGTACTTGTGAGTAAATAGCTACTGCCTTCAAAACAAAGTCTGACAAACCCAAGATGGCAAATGACAGCTGTCCCCAGCCAGCACTGGGAGAAGGGGTCCAGCACCAGAAACAAGAGCTGGGCAGTAAGAGGTAGCACACTACTACTGCTCATACACTTAGAAGGGTAAGTGTGGCATCAGAGCAAGACCTTACCTCTGTGCTGGGGAGGAGGTGGCTGGCTTGGTGCAGCTCGCTCCATGGGTCACACTGGACAAAACCCAGACTCTCACACAATCCCTGTTCTCCCGATGGATTTGTGCAGCGGAGCAGGACTGAGGTTACTTCCTGATTCCCCTCTGCACACTGGTTTGGGGCACACTTCACAGTGTAGGCAAGATTTGGTTCCTGGAAGAGCACTCCATAAACTAAAACTGCCCATCTTCCTTCCGGAGCCTGCTCCAGCTTTGCCACAGCAGTGGCTTTCCAGTTCCTTGAGTTGCATTGTTACACTGAATCATGCAGTGAAAGAGGTGAAAAATCATTTCTCTGCTCTTCCTTTGCCCCAAAAGTCTTTTAGGTTTGGATTATGTTTGTGCAAAACACTCTCAACTGGTGACTGACATGTTTGCTTCAACCATAGCCTTTGAAATGACCTTAATTACCATGTTGTTAAGAAATGAGTACTTGTTTTAGAGAAAAAAGAACTGTACTTTTAAAATTCAGTTAGTTAACACTGCAAAAAACGGCATATTATATTTTTATTTTCAACATGTAGTTTTGTATATTAAATTTATTGAAATTAAAAACTAAACACTGTATTGTCTTCATCTGCTCAGGAAGACAGAGGCAGCGCTGCCTGACTCTTACCCGCCTGGACCCTGCTTGTCTATGCCCTGCCCTGCCTTGCCTAAAGAGCTGGTGCAGGAAAGGCTCTGACCCCCCAGCGCAGGCACATCCTCTCCTCTGAGCGCTCAGAGGTTTAACACCACAAATGTATTTGGTACCATTGTGTTGTATGCTGCTCATCAGAAGCATTCCTGAAAATAGTCTTAATCCCGTTTCCTGCGTAACAGTGGCTATATTCCCCAGCACCTGGAAGAACTGTAAAAGCCTATTTCTGTACAAATACAAGGAACGTTTGGGAAGCGGCGCAGTCAGAGCTGACTTCGTTTTCTCTTCCCCTCCTTTTTACATTTAAAAAGAAAAAGGATGAAGGCACAGTACCAGGGCTGCACTGACCACACAGGGCAGACAGCTGGGAGCCAGAACAAGAATGTACATCTATAAACACCTGCTGCTCTGGAGCCTGCCACTCCTTCCTCCTCAACAGCAGCATCCCACTGAGCTCGTGCTGCAATGGCACACACAGAGGGACCCACTGCCTGAGTTCCCTCTCCAGTTTAGAAATGGGAAAGAGACAGATCAGAGAGGCCTTGATAAGGAAACAGAAGAAGCAGTAGCAGACTGCTGGCTGTACCACAACACTGGAACACAGGAGCTCTGGTAACGGTCTTACCTGTGACTTGACCAAAACGTTCTTGCACTGCCTCAGGGGATTCTGAAGGGGCTAAACTTTTCCCACACCACTGTGCATAGTTAGTGTAACATTCATCCTGGTGCTACATTAGTAGTCCCACGTTAAGGCAATTCTGTCTACATTGTGTAGACTAGTGACAGTCCCCTGCAGCAGCAAACTCCCAGAGCCTTACATCTGCCCCGACGTTATTAGTAAGCACTATGGCTGTTACCAAAATAGACATTAGGTTCAGTAGTGCATTCATTTAACATCTTTGGTGCTTGCAGCTAGCAGCATCTCTCTGCAGACGTTCATCCCACATCTTTTAACTTGCCAGTGGAGCTGGGGGAAAACAAAGGAAAAACACCAGAATTACTCAGTGCAGCTCTTACCAGATGCAGCTCTTACCAGATGTTCGCAGTTCAAGGTTACATTAGTTGTGAAATGCTGACATTCATTTTCTGGATGGTCAGCTACAAAAATCAATGAAGCAGCATTGTTAAACTCTAGTGATTGGAAATGCTTAAGTGTCCAGTCACTTGGTCTTGCAGATATGGCCATCACGTGTCCCTTCAGAGAACCCCAAAGCTCACAGGCAGCTCACTGACCCCCTTGGCTGCAGGGCAGAAATCCCCAGGCAAACAGTCCCTTTGGTGCTACAAATTCAGATTCATGCAGTGAACCAAGACCTCCTGGTCTGTAAATCCTAACACAACGGGGAAGCAAAGCTGTGACAGAAAGGTCCTGTGGCCACAAAGCTGGTCACCATTAATTTAATTGCCATTTATAAATGCAAAGCTATGCTGAGGAAGAGGGGTGCACACCAGACTGCAGGTGACTGCAGTGCGCTAAGGGAGAACTGACTGTTCAGCATCCCTCTGTGGTTTATCAACACAGGCAGTGGGAGAAGAGAGGACCGAAAGTTTCAGGTGTCAAGTGGTTGTGTCCAACTAGGCTGAATTTCAGACACCAGACACAGAAGTGGGCTGAGTTAGAGATCCCACAGGCAGGGGCACTGCCTGTGCCCCTTTATCCTTCAGTAACTTTATGTAGGAAATGGCTTAAAAACCAATGACACCAGAGTTTGGCGTTAATTTGCTTTGGATTTGTTTTAAAGGAGAGGGGATTTGTGATACCTAAAAAGCAGAGTCTGAGAAAGGAAGACAAGCTGCCAAACCAAGCAGTTTCTGCAGAGGCTGGCAAGAGGAGGAAGCCTCCCTCTTTCCCCTCCTGCTAGTACACAGCTACTTTGGCAGCTCTTCTGTACTTGATCTGAGCACTGTGGGCATCAGGCACAGCTCTTTGGGTAACCTGTATTCAACTGCACAGCTTCTCCACCCCCAGAAGCCTCCAGTATCCAGAAGCAAGCCTGTCTTCAACAGCTTCCCTTTCAGAGGAAGTCAAGCAGACTTCCATGGGACAAAAATCCTTTTCTCTAAGTTCTGGAAGGGGCAGAAGGGTCCCTGCCAGCTCTGAAAGGTTCTTTGCTAACAATAGGGATGGTCAGAAAGCACTGTCCCTCCTAGAAAGGACTCACCAATCTTGTTTTCTAAATGCCATTCTAAGTAAGGGGGATGTTAGAAGTGATTGTGAAACAACGTCTTTGATACACGAACCGATCAGAGACTGGGTAACCTCACTGCTGAAACTGTGCCAACTCACCACTACGGATACAACGAGGAATGATCCCAAAACCAGAGCAATGTAATTAGGTCAATGTCAACAACAGACATTATTCAAGCAGAGCTCCTCTGTACCCTGTCAGGTTCTGTCAGCCCATCGTTGGATGCAGCATTCCTACCTCAGGCAGAGCTAATGCTCAAGGACCAGCCAGTTTTCTGTAACTGTTTGAAGATCTTGACCGCTGAGGGGCTCCCTGAGTCTCACTTTCACCTCCAGTTTGCCTCCAGTGGGCTTTCTGCCATCAAAAATCTGAAAGAACCACAAAGAGCAGAGCAGTCAGCACACATACAAGTGACACTGTCAAACCAGAGGGCCTCAGGCATGTCCCCATGACTAGAGGATGACAGAGATCACCTGCAGGTGACCACAGTGCTGAGGGCAGTGTGTCCTGGGCATGTCTGTGTCGCAGCCCAAGGCAGGGGGTTATTAAGGTTCCAGTTAGTGAGCTCCTGCTGGATCTTGCAGCAGCTCTGTATCCACTCGGGCAGTCTTCACTTGACCCCTTCCTCTGTTAGCTACCAACACAGATGTGTGGGGGAATCACCTCTGTTTCTGGTCCTGACAAAACTCTCCTGATACAGGAAATTTGAGGAAGAGAGTCCCCAAGACAGGGCTTGGAGCAAGCTGCTCTAGTGGAAGGTGTCCCTGCCCGTGGCAGGGGGCTGGAACTGGACGAGCTTTAAAGGCTTTTCCAACCCAAACCAGTCTGTGGTTCTATGAATGCTAACAGCTAACACAAGCTTCAAGAGATGACAAAACAAAGAGCAGCCCACTGTTTATCAAAAAAACAAAACTCAACTGTGCACAAACACATTCATGCAATGCATATTCATTTTCCCTTTGTATTCAAGTACTAAACCAGGAGAACTCACCCCACCCAGAACACGTACCTCGATGATCTCTCTGACTTCACATTCTGACTCCAGCTTCTCCAGTTTCAAGTGTGCTGTTCCCACTTGCTTGTCGCTTCTGAAAAAGGACCTGTTTCCAAGAAATCATCTTTAATTCAGTGGGTAAGGTTTTGCAGAACATGAAAGAGAAAGCAGGCTCAGGACAGCTCTGTTTGCACCATCACTGCATCAGGAGAGCCAGTTGAGAAGTGTTACAGAACCCTACAGGCCAGGGTGCAAGAGGCAAACCCTGAGTGAATCAGACTACAAGGACAAGATACAAATTACCCAAGTTTTAATTACTCCCTTGCAACCGAGTTAAAGATGAGGCCAGTGGTGAAGAAAACGACCAACTAAAGGAGCACTGAAAGTGGCAGCAGCTTGTGTCCCTGCACAGGGCAACAGGGAAGAGTGGCCTCACAGCCAGGACAAACAGCAGCCTCCTGCAAGGGGCTGTTCAACAGAAGCTGCATCTCTCATCGAAACAAACACCTCACAGGCACGTGCTGGTTTTGGCAAACTCCTTATCAGGAAAAAGTCACGTTGTTTCCTTTTGATAAACCAGTTTCAACAGCTAAGAACAGCTCATTGCAGCTGTTGGTTTGATTCACCTCCACACCGGAGGTCTGAACCATCAGGAACCATCGCTTCAGACTTTCCAGTCTGCTGGAATGAAACACAAAGCATTTCATGCTGCAAGGGAAACAATCCACTGTGCTCTGCTACAGTCACTTCTGCTCAACAGTTTGATCAGCAAGACACCATCTTTTACCTCCAGAGGCAGGAGGTGCAATCCTTACCCACACAAACTCCCCCAAAAGGCAACAGCTAAGACTAACACACACTAATTCCACTGGGTTTCTCTGCCTGCATCCAAGCGTTTTCCTTGCTTTGGGAATAAGTCTCCAAAAGGTTTGATAAAGAACTAAAATGCCCAGAGTCTAGAGGCAGTAAAGCCAAGCAGCCATGCCTGTGCCCATCATGTTTTAGACAGGAAGCCTGCCACGAATTCAGATGCTTCCCTTTTTATACCACTATCTGGGAAAAAACAGGCAAGAAGCCCAACAAGTATACAAAAAATAACCCCATTAATCCACTCTTATCCCTATTATATATATTATCAAGACAGACTTATGCAATGAAAACTATAGAGCCTCATAATCATGTCTGTGGCAACAGCATCCAGTATATTAACACACAGACCTGATGTCAGTTTCCAATCTGTGAACCTGATGGTCTAAACTCAACTGGGAAAGGAGGAAGGCTGTACCCTCACATCCACCACCTCAATGATTGCTCCACTCCTATGGCTCAGATCAATCACTGTCTAAGGCCTTGCCATCCAGATTTTACCCTCACTTTCTGGCCTGTTTGTTCAGGAATAGTCTCAGGAAGGGTCCTACAGTACCTGAGTCTCTATAGATTAGGAGAAGTCTGGTATCATTAGCCCAGGCTGCAGTGAGCTCCCAGGAGGGAGCTCAGACACTTCTGGATGGCATAAAGACCCCAAGACCTCTGCAACTGAATGCACTGGCACATGCAGTGAGTCACTGTTAGGAAGTACATCTCCTCCAAGAACCTGCTGCTGAAGGACTTGAAAGACTCCAGCTCAGCTGTCAGGTTACTCCTTAGCTGTCAGTTTGTCCATCTCAACACAAAGTGCTGTAGTAAAGGGAAAGCAATGTCACAAGGAGTCACCTCAAGGGCTGATAATGCTGCCCCAAACACGATGCCTATCAATTCTCTTGGCAGAAAGCCCTCCAAAGGTAAGACCTCATTCTCTGTCGATATGACTACATCATTTAGAGAAGCTCAGACTTGATTCTCTTACATGCCAGAATACTTCCTTGCCTTCACGAGTGCCTTAAAATGAAGAGGGATTACATAACTGTACTGCAGTATGCTGGCACCTTGCTCAGAAACTCAGGGAATCAGCGATTCTTCTGGCTCAATGCTTCTTAAAGCATTTTTCCATTTGATAATTCAAGACACAATAAAGACTGGTTCAGCCCCCATCAGTTCTAGGGGGGGTGGCTGTGAAGGATGTGAACTTGCTCCAGGCCATGGCTTCAGAAACAGCTATGGGGAATCTCCTTTTATCTTCAGAAGCTTTTAAGAGAAGTTAAAGGAGAGACTTTTCCTTTGGAGAAATCGCTGCTGGGATTTCTAGTTTAAAGTGTTCTTTAAAGCAAAGTTTAATATCTCTGACCTGAAACAAGTCTCCTCTGCTCACTGACAGAAAACAATGCTTGGGAGACGGTCAAAGAGCTACCGGAGACCCCAAACCTACATCTCCAAGCACTTCTGAAAGTATTATTCATTTATAGTCTTACAGACAGGCAGGGAGCAGGCAGCCTTTAGAAGAGAGCCTGCATCATTAATCCTCTTTTCTCCCCAGAGGACAGCCAGGGGAAGGTGCTCAGTGGGCTTTTCTTCTCTTCCTCATTCCCTGTTGCTATGTGCCCAGGGAAACTGCCACCCCTCCACCCCAAACCAGCAACAAGCACATCCTTATCTTGTTAAATTCCTGTCCTAAGAACAAAACCAAAACCTCAGACCTAGGAAAGGGATGACCTGCAGAGAGTTTTTTTGCTAATCTTCAAAAGGGCTTCAAAGGACAATCTGGAGCTGGCACGTAACTCATGAGTCACCAGAGAGTGTTTCCAATGGGTGAAGTTGAGCCTGAGCTCAGACATTAAAACCAAGTGCAGTTCCAGCTGATGAGAGAACAGGATGTGCCCCACATGTACAATGATGTGCAAAAGATAGGGGAAAATGTTTTGAACCAATGTAAGCATGGAACAGTTCTGTAGATATGAGGCTGGATCTCTTAACAATGACACCATAAACAACAGAGCAGTAGAGCAAGCAGGATGGGCAGCAAAAGAGTAAGAAAATCAACTTTTGCTTCAATGGAGATGCAATGGACTTCAGCTCACAAATTAAAACATCTGCAACTTGAAAACCACCTCAGAGAACCTATGGATCATTTCTGCAAGTCCCAGTAAGAAAGAACAGCACAAAGAACCACCAAGACAAAGCCAGGTTAGCTAACATCTCATCCAAGTCATGGATCACAACCAGCTCAGGGATCAGGGAATACAGGCCACTGATTCTGAATACATCAGTAATAAGCATAGACATAGGATGAACAATACCAGCTGTTAACATCCACCTCATCATCTTGATCCCTGAGATGAGTGGAGTCTTTCGTCTCTCTCAAGATAGTTTGCTAGCAGTGCTCAGTAAATATCCTCAGAATGAAGTACAAAACCATAGCACTAGTTCTGCCATCATCTGACAGCTGCTTTGCTGCTGTTCATGTTCTGCTGTTACTTGTACTTCCTATTCTACAAAGTCACCCCATTGAACATATAAACCTTCTGATGACGAACCAAACTGGGTGAGAATCCAAACAATCTGAAGCTGAAGCATGATGTTCTCAGTCTCATCAATCCCTCTTGCACACGAACCCTCCACTGATGTGACAGTTAGTAATGAACTTCTCTGAACTTGTGCCTGTTCTTCATCAATTTCAGCTACTTCAGTCTTCTCAAGTGTTCAGAGAGGCAATGAGAGGGAGCAAACCGGGGACTTACCCTTTATGAAACACTTCAAACTTAATCCCTTTGGATCGAATTGCTCGCCGGAAACCTCGGTGATTTCGGTTGATGTTCAACTTGAACAACTGGTTATATTCTACAGTGAGGATACAGAGAAACGATGGTAAAACATGTGCTAGGCTCTATTACATGCACATACTCAGACTCCTGGTGATCTTAGTTTTGTCCACTTTGCAACACTTCACATCCCTATGAACCTGCCCCTCAGGAGGTTATTTCAGTCATTAACAAGGCATCACTTTACAGGGACAGAAACCAAACAGCAGAAAACTGGATCACGAGGTGACAGCAAATTCCTGGAGAGCCAAAACTGGAGAATCAAGGTCTTCCAGCAATAAACAGATTGTGGCTAAGAAAAAGGTGTAAAATAACAAGGAAACAGCATAGGAAGCTTGGATTGACTGGCAAGGGGGAGTTTGTAATGCAATTAATACTGGTTTAACACCAGTTTGATTAATGAGCATAACAAGAACTATGCCACAGGATACCTGTTTATCAGAAAGGCCCACAACATTGTGCAACTCATGTTCAAAGACTTATCTGCTGTGCTACCCAGGAACACTCATCTCTGCTTGTGAGCCTGGGATCCCAAAACATTACAGCTGAGGGGCTGCTCAGCAAGTGCAGATCAAGTTATTGGAAGGCTTGGAACACAGCTCTTAGCTTCAGAGCTTCAGGACTTCTGCTTTTAATAGGAAATACATATAAACTCAAAAGGTATCGATAGGTATCTATCCTGAGCTAACTTCACAACTAGTAATTTGAACACTGAATTTGAAGTGGTTTGATAGTAGATGGCTGCTGACTGCAAGAATTAAAGGAAAAAGGACAGAGCAGTAAACCAAACTCAGGGTACAAGAGGTTTAATTCCAAACCACGTGGTGAGTCTAACAGTGGTAGTCAGTGGCCCGGCACAAAGGGGTATTTATCAGAAGGTGCAAGTATGTTAGTTGGGTGTAAAACACACTGTCTTAAAAATATAGCTGTAAGATCAATTTCTGCAGCTCTGCTTTGTCAGGTCTGGAAGTGGCAGCTGATTGCCAGTTCTGTCATCATCTTTGCTAATCTCCAAGGACACAAAACCCAACTGAGAAAGATCTGATCCATGGAGATACTGAAATTGATGATTTAACTTATATAACTGGAGCACAACTGGTAACTCGATGATTTCACTAATTCCTAACGTAACAACTGCCACCAATATTGGGATGAAGGTGAAGAAGCTGCCATCACAGCTGGACTTCGCCCTACAACAAACCCTTTCATAAAGAAAGAAGGCCTCTGGCCTGGTTCACCATATGGGACGAGCCTATGCTCTCCCATGATCCCTAAGGTGCAACATTTTTCCCTCTGTCCCAGAAGAAGTACTAACCTGGAGAATTGTTGTTGTTTATTACAGGTGTTTTACTCTTCTGAGGTTGCTCCTATTAAAGAGAGAGACACATTACATAAACCATCAGACACTGTTTCAAAATACAAAGTAGTCACAATTTTTATTAGCAGCTCTTTTTTATACCTACACAGGGAACATGAGGTTTTAGGGGGTTATGAGAATAATAAGAGCAGCCGTGGTACATTCAAGACTGAAATATTTGGCTTTCATTGTGGTAATAGTAGATAAATAATAAGTCAAAACATTACATTAAATATAAGCCATAGATAAGCTACATGGTCACACTCAATTCAATCCAATCATCACAGAGTTACTGACTATGGCTATTCAAGTACATGATAAACTGCACACGTTCCATGACACAGTAATTCTGTTCCTTCTGCATTCATTGGAATCATAAAGCTACACAAGGAATTCATCACAAATCAGTCAGGGAATTGCCCTACTATTATTTTGCCTGACAATCAATCTGCCACCAGAATGAATTAACTTTTAACCTAAAGTGGAGAACAAACCGAATCTCTGGGGACAGAACAAGGACAATGTGACCTAATTACTGCAGCTAGTTAGCAAACCTGATCCCAGCTATGAAGGAGAAAGGTGCTGGACTGACTGTTGGTTAAGCAGCGGAGACCTGGCTGCTTTAAAACAAAGGCAAGCAGATTAAAAGCAACTCTGCTGAGTCTTACTTCTTCCCTGGAAAATTATTCATACAGACCAATTCTGTTTTCTGCCACCCCTCATGGAGGGGGAACCCTCCATTATGGCCTCGCATAAACCTAACCCCAAACCTGATCTGACCATCACCAATTTCTCACAGGTAACTGAATTCCATTTAGTGGAATTGCTGCAAATTATATTAGGAGCAATAAATCCTAGGGCTCTGCATTCTCACAGGGGTATTAGTCCTGTAAGAGCAAAGACTGGTTTTGGCCTACAGCAAAAGCAGCAGAAGCCCTAGCACTTCTACTAAGAGTAAGACTAGGCAGCCCTCAATGGTTTCTGTATGTCAGCTCAATGGTTTCTGTGTTTTTCAGACCAGAGACTGCTTCTAAAAGTGTGGGGAACAGGATGACACTGAGGAGTTTTAAGGAAAGAAGCCATATGTATGTGTACTGGTATTTTTATACATATACATATGCACATATATATAAGCACATATATACATGCATGTAAGTATTAACTAGTAAGGTCAAGAAACTTGTAGGGCCTAAGTCAGATATGCACATATGTATTTGCTAATTGAATCACCAGGAGTCACATGCATTTATTTGATGGCAAAGATTAAGCTTTGCAATCCATTTCTATAATTAGAGATGTCCAAAAGCAATGCCTTTAAAAGCTTGTTTTCTGAAAGGAATGGGACTTAGAGGGAGATCCCATGTAAGGTGGCCCCTCTCCCCTACTGACAGCTTTGCCTGTCCTTGTGTTTGAAGTCACCAGCGACTTTGCACCCCTGTAAGAAATGAACTTCTACATACTTTGCAGACATAGTCTGATTAGTTATCTTGACAGGGGAAAATGTGGGCATGGCTTAGCACTGTGAATGCTGGTCAGCCGAGAGCTGGTGGTCAGGCAGCCAGAGAACATGCAAGCCTAAAGCAGGTTCCACACTGCCAAGTGTAAGATGTGGAGAACATTAAGGGGCAGCAAAGCTCAGATCTGCAGGACACTCATTAAGCAGTTCTGTTTCTCAGAAGCAGCTTCTGTTTCAGAACTAAATTCAGGCAGTATGGCTGGAAGTGTTCTCCCTGTCTAGAAGAAAACCCACACTTCCTCCTTGAAGCCCTCCCAAGCTAACACAGCAGCGGCAAGGGTCAGACTGAGGAAGAGCAGAGCCAGGACACACACTCACCGCGCTCGGGTACTGGAATTCAAACTTCACAAAGGGATCCAAATCTCTCGGTGATACACCTGAATGAGACAAGACCACCAATCCAAACAGCCCATATAGGTACGTTCATTGCATCTGTAATGCTGAGCAGGGTTCTCAAGAGCACCCGAGTTTCAGCAGGACTCATGACTTGTCTGTTGATGACTGAAATCTAATGAACCAAAATCCAGAGCGAGCTGGTGTCCAAAGGAAAACACCTACTTCTCTTAATGCTGCTGTTAGTCCTGAGATAGACTGGCACAGATGGTTTACAAGCTCCCAGAAACAAGGGACTGAGAGCAGGAACATTGGCAGAAGCAACTCCTGTCTACTGAAGGGTCAATACACATTAACGTGGTGCAGAGTTAAGGTGGGCATAACGAAATAGGAGATAAACACGAAACTAAAACTACGACCCAGTTATGAGCGAACCCAGGACAATTCAAAGTTCTTCCCTCTGTCCAGATGGATCCCAGATTCTATTTGTTCTTCTGGGGGTTTTGTTCATTGGGGTTTGGGTTTTTCTAATACTGTTTAAAAGGTGGGGGGGGGGCTTGAGCCTGAACCCTGGTTACTTTGTTTTAATGAGTGCTAGCTACAAGTCTTGACTCCTGAAGTGGTCTTCAAGGTAGAAAGATCTCATTCCCCACTACTTTCCTTACCTACCCAGGGGAAGGCCCACATGCCCTTTTGAGTACATACCTGGTGGAGCTGGTAGGTTTATCCCCCTGACAATGAAAAGGTGCATTTCTGTGCTGTTGAGCTCAGAAAATATCCTGTGGAAAAAGAAAGACAAACTAGTGTATTCATCCCAGTAGTCCACCACCAGATCCACTGGCAGACCAGGATACCAGGAATGTGCCAGACTGTTTTCAGCTCCTACACAGGGCATCTTCATAGATTACAAAAGGGCAAGGAAAAAGTGCAAACCAAGACAAAAACATCTCTGAGGTATAATGGAAAATGCCATCAACAAAGCCAAAAGGTAACAGGATTGAGGGAGGAACACAGAGGAAGGAAGAGTATCTCAAGTAACAGAATATGACAAGATGAAGCTGAAGATGCTTTGAAAACAAAAGAACCCAGAAGAGAAGTCAGAGAAGAGTTTCTGTGTATTTAAGTTGTTGTGTGGCTTTTAAGGAATGCTGAGCCTAACCCTAGGTGCTACCCAAGTCTGCTGAGGCCCACAATTCCCTAAAGAAAACCTAGAAACCAGGAAACTCATTCCAGCATGTCTGAGAAATCCCTTTGGTTTTCCATACCTTATCATCTTGAAGGTTCTTTCTTCAAAGTGATGGCTTGGAGGCTCCATTCCTTGTGCTCGTGCAAGCTGCAGGATGTCCATGTCCTTTCTACAACCTTGTGCCATTTTCTCAAACCTATAGAAAAGGCAAAGAAACAACAGAAAAGCTACAACACACACTGGGCCATCAAACAGAGCATTCTGCCAGATACAGCCCACACAGTAAGCCTCACAGCAGAGGTCTGATTGCAACTTAGGCACGCAGGAGGCTTCACAGGTCCTCACCCTTTCACTTAATGAGAAACAACCTGAAACCCCATCAATCTTTAAGGGGGTCAGGCAGACTCAAGCTGAACTGACCACTTTGTGGGATAATTTAACAGCGGGTCTTACCGAGTCGTTTCTGCTACATTTCCCAGATGCATGAATTGCTTGGAATACTGCAGACACCTCTGTCAACAGAAACAAACCCACACAAATACAGTTGCACTCAGTGATCCTTGTACACAGACTCGTGACTGGCAGAGTTCTGAGGTTGATGACAACCTAACATAAGAAATGCCAAGAGTTTTCCCATGACACCTAAAACCATCCACCCACCATTCCCAGTAAAAAAGCACAGCATTTGAGTTGTTCTGCCCTTTTAATCACTTCATTTCCAAATATGAGGTTCAGTCAAGGGCCGGTCATAATCATTCAGGTACTATTTACAAACTGGAGCGCTCATATTAACAGTGGCAATTTGATAGTCCTGAGCCTCCAAGCACAGCCTCTGATTTCAACAAGCAGAAAATCTAACTCTGAAAATGCTCCCCTTTAGGACACACAAAATCAGAAGTAATTTAAAAGAAAACCAAAAAACCCCACAGAAACAATGATGGGACGGATGATAATATTAATAAAACCCAGAGAGATATTAAAATTACAACACCCAAAGCCTGACCTCGTATTGGTCTTTCAGCAGCTTTATGAGCTGCGCATACACTTCATCTGCTTTCTGAGACAGTCTGACATCTTCATGGTGTATGAAGATAAAATCACCCTCGTCATCTGTAGGGGGTGATGGCAGCTGCAATGTAAGGACATATTTCAGAGCCCTTATAGGGGAAAAAATGAAGTAAACAAAAAGAAGCCAGAATGCATGGAAAGGTCAGTGAAGGGAGGGGGGGGATTGTTTTCCTTCTCAAGGCAATTCCAACCCAACCCATACTCGCACCACTGACAACTGCTTAAGTCATAAACCCTGCAACATGTCTTACAGGCCTACTTCCCTGGTTATTCAGGTCAGCAGTAATGAACAGTGCAGTTTAGTTTCTTATCTAGCCAAATACCAAGAGAAACCAGGGCATCACTCCATCACATGCACCTGATCCTCATCCCAAAATGGAGCCAGGACACAGCTAAGAGATGTACTCACACCCTAACCCCAAGGGATACTTCTAAGCTGCATGGTTTAGGCATGCCATTGTAAATCAAGGAGCAAACAGTTCATGGAGACTAAATGTTCTCAAAATCTGGAGCACCTGAGGAGCAGCAGAGGAAACAAAATGAAATGAAAACTAAATCAAAAATATAGGGGGATTTCAGAGCTCAGCATCCAGACTTATCAAACTAACTTAACTGTGTCAATAAATGCTTACTAAATCATTCACTGTTTGAAGTAAGCACTTAGATGTCCAAGAACATGAAACAAAGCAGGATAGTGACAGTCCTACTAACCTTGGAAATATCAACAGGTTTGCCACATTTTGCTTGCTGAATCTTTATGTCAAAGCTCTTGGATGTCCTGAGATACATCTTGGCCTGTTCAAGGTTATTTTCCTTCTTTGCTTTGATGGCTGCTCTTATGTATTGTTTCTTTCTGTTCTCCAGAAATTCCAGCTGTTCCCTCACTGAAAAACAGTTGAATAAAAACCTTCATTCATCTGACACTGCCATGCCCCTGAAACAGGTTTATCATGTTCCATTTATAGCCAGAAAAAGGTCAGCAAAAGTACAGCTATCAAATAAGGACATGGCCTTACTGCAGTTAATTGGTTCTTGGCCAGGTTCAATGTCAAGTATCAGAAAAAGAAACAAACTTCCTTCTATCATGGCATCTTCATCAAAGCCTCATAGCACGTCACAAGTGTCACAATAGTGATTACAGCCCTTTATTTGCAGATCCAAAGCAAAGTGAATACAAGCTTTCAGCTTGACATGTTAACTTCTAGAAGACAGCAAGTATGAGCATCTTCTGTACTCATTTCTTCCCTCAACCCTGAACTGTCAGGAAAGAGACACAGATGAACCAGTATGCAGGCACATTCAGATTTATCACCTCTGCTTATTTGTGATTCCTTGCCATCTTCATTACTTATTAGTTATTGGGTCTCCTCTTTCCTTCCCGTAATGCAAGGACAACTGTGCAAGTCAGGAAAGATTGCTTTACATTGTACCAGGTGACTGCATCCTGCCTCTTTTTATACCTCACTTAGAAAATGCACAGCATGAGCCATTTTCAAAGATACTTATATTGTATTCCCCACTGCACTCTACTCGTGATTACACAAGCGAAGCAGCACTTGCAAGAGGTGCCTGTCTTGGCAAATAAATACACCAATAACTCTCACACTATGCTCACTGCTGGCAGATGACAATCAACTTATTCCCATCCTCACAAAAGAGCCACTGTCCTGCTGCTGTGAGCAATTTGCCCAATCAGCCAAACCCAAATTAATTAGCCAAGGTAGCTAGCCCGGATTCCACTGAGACAAAACCCACAATGTGCTCTGTGAGCCTGAAACAGAGCACAGGTATTCCAAAGAAAATCTGTGGAGAATGCACTGAGCAAAGCCATTAATCCAACTGATCTTGGCTCCTTCACTTTCCTGATGGAGGCCTTAAGTGCAACTGCTCCACTCCCTCGCCTCCCTATGCCTTGTGCCCTCCAACAACACAGTTTTTGTTACAGTTGATTTATCAGCTGTAAGCTGCATTTTGTAATTCTGGGGGGCAGGAGGTAACATCTGGATCACAGAATGCACTTTGGCTAATGAAATACAGCTTTACATTAGTGCTGTATGTTGTATATAACTTTACATTAGTGAAGTACTGACTGTTTCACTGGAGTGAAAATCGTGTCAGTATGATCTGTCCAGGTTCCTGCTGCACCTACTGGTCTACTTTTAAAATACGTGAAATACCCAGGAGAAATTACTGTAATATCAGGACCAGATATCAATTCCTTCCCACTGTAAGTCGAGGGCAATTCACTCGAAAGATTAATATGTCAGCTAAAACTGCAAAACCCCCAAATCCTGAGGATTCATAGATTTTCAAAGTCAAAATGGACAGCTACTAAGTTTTAGTGGTATTTATAAAACAAGTCATGGAATTTTCCTAGACAGAAGACTTAAGCTAATCATGGTGGCACTGTAAAATGCTTTTCAGTCTGTAAAAGACCCTGCATCAGGTAACTAAGCAGTTCTGCTTTGTCCTGAGGGAACTACCCAGGGCAGAATGGAAGGAGGATGGGATTATGAATGCTCCATCCCTGGCGGTGTTCAGGGCCAGGCTGGACAGAGCCTTGGGTGGCATGGTTTAGTGTGAGGTGTCCCTGCCCATGGCAGGGGCTTGGAACTGGATGATCTTAAGGTCCTTTCCAACCCTAACTATTCTATGATTCTATTACAATCAAGGCAAACAACAGAATCAGTGAGAGCCTGAACACTGCTGGTGTGTGCCCAAATCACACCATGAGGAGGTGGCTGCCCCTGACTATCTGTACAATTAATCTTGTACAGACTGTTCAGTGACCTTAGCAACAGCAGACCGAGAAACTGATGAACTACTGCCTATGTATCAGTTTGAGATCCTCGGATAAAGCACTAGGCAAAAACCATTGTTTGATGTAAAAGCTGCATTAGGTCAATGAATAATTCACACCGGCAAGCTGTCCACTTTAATGAGAGTACACACAGAGTTCAACTGTAAGCTGAGTTAAACATTATGAATGGATACATTTGTTACATCAAATTCAATTAAAACCCCAATCACCTTTAGAATTACACATTGCTGCCTCTGTGAAATAAAGCTGCATGGCTGGTCTACATCTGCCCTCCAGCAGACACATATACTGAGGCCCCTGCCACAGGACATCTATGGCACGTATTCACAAGCTCATATCTAAAAGATAATGGAGTCTTTACCAAGGTATTAAACTAAACTAGTGCAAACAGCTTGCACACGGATCACTAGCAATGACAGTCCCTTCATCTTACCAGCTGGAGGGAGGTGATCCATTGACTCTGCCTTATGCAGGGTGGAAGGTGATGAAGCTCGTTTCACATGCTCAGGAGAGCTCTCCTCCCCAGCTACAGCAGATGGCACTGTAATTGGCTTAACAACTTGAGTCGGCTTTGCAGGCAGCTGAGCAGGCTTCTTGGCAACAGGGGCCTGTACCAGAGGTTCAGCCTAACATAACAAAAAGAATTTCATATTATATAAATAAAAATCTATTCCAGAGCTGAGGACAGCGTCAACAACCACGGTTCTCATTTATCAGCCTTCTGGTATCACTTTTGAGGGGAGCATAACATTCCAGACAGCAAATTTTAACTTCTGGAGGTTTATGAGTCATGTCATGCCAGTAGGTAGTTAACCTGTGCAAGTGTCAAACCTCCACTATAAAAGGGACAAAAGGAATGTTCAACAAGGCACTGATTTAAAAACAAGCAGATGCAAACAGAAAAAACATCATCTAGGAATTCTCTCCATTAAAAGCTACTCCAGTTGAAAGCACAATCAGAAACCAAATCCAGAGAGAGAAAGAAATCAAACCGAAGTCTAAAGGCTGGTGCTGCCTGACAAAAAGGGTTGAAAATCCTGGGAAAGCACAAACAGAGGAGCTATTGGGATGCAGGATGAAAATACAGATTGAAGTACTTTAGAACAATGTAAAGGGGTGACTAGGATCTGAAGTGTTTGCTTTGAAAATAAAACCCACATGCAAGATAGTTATGAAAAAGCCAAACTCTGGACTCTCTGTAGGTACTGACTCTAATAACATCTTATCTCTCTCTTGCACTATAATGCAAACTAAAATTACTACTGAGATCCTATACTCTTCAGACTTCGGGGAAACATATTTCATCTTCCTTGACTGGAAATCCAGTGGCCTCATCTCTGTATATCAAAGAGACAGCATTTTAACTTTTACACATCCTACTAAGAAATACAAACCTCCTCATCATCTTCATTCTCCTCCATGTTTGCCAGCTTGCCAGCACTTTCCAGAACAGCAGCTATTGAGCTGTCACCATCCGCTCCTGCAACACCAGGAAGAGGGGGAAATCCTGTGGAGGAAAGGAATACAGAAGAGGTGCATAAGACCTAAGATCTGTCTTTCATATTTCTTCTTTTCATAAAGCTATTTCTATCCAAGTATCTTATTACCTCATTTATTTCATAATTAAGCATAACCACACTGAGCCTAAGGCCACAAAGCCTTGCTAGATAAAGTCTGAGTGGTGGACTTAAGATCAGATCTCTCACAGATATCCAGACTTTAAGATAATGCAGTAACAGAGCATAGTATTCTGAGTTGAGCAACTGGTAGCCAGCCACAGAACCCTGCAATCTCAAGACGTAGGTAACAGAGATGCTCCCAGACCCAGCAAAGAATTCAGTCTCCTTTGCACAAAGGACAGTGGATTGTACAAGTTGTTGCTGGCTCTTTCCCCCTCTCACTGCTGCCTCACCTTAAAGGTACACAGTCCAGCAGAAAACCAGTGCTATCCCATACAGTAATAAAACAACACATTGCTAACATCTGGGTAACAAGCTAAAAGCCTCTGTTGAAAATCCACAGCAATACAGAGGTTGCAAAGTAAGGCAGAATCACAGTAATTAAATGTGAAGTATATGAAGAGCAATCTTTTTCACTTTTATTATCCTTTTAAGGATGGGAGGAAGGCTGGATGATGGAAAATAAACTCACTTCCACGCTCCCACTTCAGAGTCAGTTTTGAACAAGAGACCCAGAGCAACTACTATGAAATGTCTGTTAATAAGATTTATCTTATTAATATGTTCCAAGTATTCTTGTTGCTGGTCTCATTAGAGGTGCCAAGAAATAGAAACTAAACTGCTTCTAAACCTAGAGATAGCTCCTACAGGGACAGAACACGTTTAGAGGTACACAGATAGGCAGAACCCTGTGCTGCTGCTCCCAATTTGATCCATTATTCAGCAGTGTTTGTCTCCAAGGAGATCAAGGCTGGTTCTTATCATCATTCAGATGCAATGAAATGCACTGCCTGTCTATTATAATCTCACTGCTGGTCCCAGTGACTGCTTGATGGTTGTCTTCAACCAAAATCATATGGCCTCTAAACAATGGCTGAAAAACACTTAGCTAATATGTAAGGAAATGGAGGAGTTATCCGTATTTTCAGAAGTGTAAATATGGAGTACCTCACCCTTACAGAAACTGGGATTTACCAAGAAACTGATCACTTCCTAGAACAAGGGATGCTAAACTGCTTTTCACAGAATCACAGACTACCAGGTTGGAAGGGAACTCAAGGATCAGCTGTCCAACCTTTCAGCTTTCCAGGAACTGCTTCAAAGCAGGGAACCTTCACAGCAGTACATAACCTGACAGAGCTGACACTGCCTACTATACTACTACTACAGTGCTTGCTACTGCCACATTTGACAAAGACAAAAAAGCCACAAGGTCCATGTCCTTTTCCTAAAGTAAAAAGCCCAGGCACCTCTTTGCAGTGCTAAGTATCTTTTCAGGAGAGCACATCAGGCACAAGATAAAAGGAATGATGCTTCCTAGGGGAGAAACAGTATCATGCAAACCGGAGGTGGAACATTCATAGATGACCTTGCGCAACCTTTTACAGACACAGCACTATATGTGTTCTGAAGAAGTTAAAAAGGACACACAGTCTCAAGAAGCAGCTTCAGTTTCTGCCTATGCCAGTGTCTCAGTGTGACCACAGGCATGACTTGCTTCATCTCTGCATACTACTTTTACTGGCCATGAGAGCTGAATTACAGGTCTGACTTGTCAGGTGTAAAATGATTAGTTAGATAGAAAGTTCTGAGGCTCCTGGCGGGAATCAATAGAATGGGGTCAAAAATCTCCTTCTTGTACATGAAAAAGCCAATACAACCCAAATTCAATCTTTCCTCTAGGAGGAAAGACAAAACAGGGCAAACACATAGGACAAACAGGCAACATTTTCAGCACCTGCCCATGGTTAAACTGTTAAACTTCTCAAACAGCGCCAGTTTTAAGTTCCAATACTGGCAGAACTCAAACTTACAGTTGACAATCAGGACTATTCACCAGTGTTAACATTTGGGTGGATATTTATACTCACTCTCACAATACCATCAAACAGCAAGGCCAGCCTACTCACTGAGGAACAGGAGAAGCTGTTCCACAGGATGAGGAGGCAGTATATGCACAGCTCCTTCAGAGCCCAGTAAATATACAGAAGATGGTATTAGGACGTTTTCTATTCACACTTACCAGGAGGAACAGGTAGCTCAGAAAAATTCACTTTTCTCCCTGCTTTATGGGCTCTTATGGCGTCCTGGTATTGCTGCAATCAAAGGCACTCAGTAAGACATAGAGCTGACTATATGCACTTAGCCACCACAAATATTGCAGAACACACAGTATTTTACTATAATATGTGCATTGTCTCTGTTTCTTCTTCCCTCTGAATGCTTTACAGCTCTCCTACTGGAGCTCCTCACAAACAGAAGAACAATACACAAATTATTTCAGCCCTGAAACAGTCTTCAGCAAGAGAACTAACTCAAATGGCTTTGCTGGATGCAAGCAGCCTGCCACACTTTCATTTACCTTGGCTATTCTCTCGTGCATCCTGCCTTTCCGGTCATCCCCACTTGCTTTAGCCTGTGCTGCTGCTGACTTGTATTTCTCAAGCCTTTGCTGCAATGCTTCCAGCACTGTTTTTGGCTGCTGCAGGGAAGCTTGAAATAAGACAGACAAAGAAATGGTATGTGATTTGGATTTCAAAACATGAGCCACTTTTTTCCTCCCCTTCCTTACCTTCTGCAGAGGCAAAAACATCATTACAAAGTCTTACTATGAATACAAAAGTATAGATGGGATCAGCAGCAAACAATACTCAGGACCTAGGTTTACTCAATCACAATGCAGTTCAGTGGGATACGGCAGGCTTTAAAGTGCCTTTCACCTGTGCTATTTCTATGGCTTGCAAGAGAAACCCACAAGTCCTACCTGAAGCTTCTCGGGTGTGAGGTTCAGGTAGTTTAAGATCCTGGGAACTTCCCACTGGAGCAGGTACCTTTTGCTTGGATGCACCTTGTCCGTTTCCTAGGCTCTCAAGATCTGCAACGCAAGGAAAGCAGGAAATTTCACTTGTTCCATAAACACCAAGTCAACCCATGTTACTCTGAAAACCATCAATTCAATCACATCATCTTCCTGAAAGCTTTCTGGCTTCAAAACAGTATCTGCATGGCTAGGTGAGTGTAATGTTCCCATCATTCAGAGAAAATGCTTCATAACAGGAAATCTCAAATACTGATTTAATTTAGGTTAGTGCTGCTTGCGGGAAAAGGGAAAAAAAAAGTACAACCAGTTCAAGTATTCTAAGAATTCTCTCCCCAGAATACAATTTGGTATGGTGGCAGATGGAAGGAGTGAACAAGATTGCTAACTGACTAAAATATTCTAGTAACAAAAGATGTGCTGAAAAAGGAAAGCAAGTAACACCCTCCATTCAGACACCCAAGATTCTGGCACTGTGTAGCAGTGGTTACTTCAGAAAACTATAGAACTATCCACTGCAAAAATCTTGCACTTGTGTCATGAGTGAACTTTCTCTCTAATGCCAGTTAGTGATCAGTTTCTAACCTAAGGAATCATAAATTGAGTGATTTAATGGAATAATCTATCATTTAATTTCTTAGAATAAATTAATTTACTAAAGTAAATGGTTTAAAACATTAAGTTCAATTAAATGTTGGCAGCAGTACCAGACCTAGTTTAAAAAGCCCTCTTTTAAAAAGATAGAAGTATCTTTAAAACCAGTAACTTACTTTAAAACTAAACTTCACTGCATTGCAACCTATTTGTTAATCTCTTAACCTGAACATTATGAACTTCAGTTGACAACCCGTAACACCATCAAATATCACAGTAAACTTTAAGGATGTGCCATTACTCTTCTTTCCATTCCATTTTTAAATATGATTTATTATATAAAGCTATAAACCCAGGAATATTAGACATCACTGCCTACTTGAACTTGTAATTCACAGAGAGTAACTTCAATATAACAACTCAGTTTTCTCCTTTGGTTTTGATTAGAATTTGAATATGCAATAAGTCTCAGACCTAAGTGATCTTCAGTTCTTCTTACGGTTTTGTAATCAAATGCAGAATCATTCCATTACAAAACAGAGAGGCTTCTAAAAGGGTTTCTGTCAGACAGGCCTTACCCTGAGGAGATGGAGGCATATTCTCCAGGTCTATTGGCTGCCCACTGTCCAAAGCTTCCAAGACCACATTAAATTTCTAACACAGAAAAAACAAAACAGAGGATTTATTCTAGTATGTCCAAGTCTTGCTAGCTGCCACAATAAATATTTGACACTCAATGCATGTTGGTAAAGCACAGGGTATGTTTATAATTCATGACTTCTTGTGTGCACACCTTGCCTGCCTTCATGTATTCCTTTGCTTTCTCCAGGTCCCCTTGCTGCTTGGCTTTCAGAGCTGCTAATTTATACTCCTTCTGCCTCATAAGTAGTATTGCTCGTGTGCTGCTCTTCTGGAGATCTGTGAGAATGAAACAGAGCATGCAAGATGTGCCTCCATTGCTATGACCATCTATTCAATACCTGCATTTGCCCTCTTTTGCTTTGAACCACACAGCCATCTTACGTAAGTTCTTTTTCCACCAGCCTCCAGAAGCTATACCAGACATCATAATCCCACTTTTCCCAATTGAAAAGTGGTCTTTTAGTCAGTATCTCAAAACCCCTTAAAGCTTGGAATTCCACATGTGACAATACTGAAGGAACAGTTTGGTGAAAGATACTGGAAAAGGAACAGTTAAGTGAAAGATACTGATACAGTGCATGTAAGAGCTCTCCCATAATAACTGATGCCAATGCCAGAAATTCAGCATCCCACTGACAACTCTATCTGAAACATTCAGCAGGGAAGTTCCAACATAGTGCTTTGTTATATCAAGAAAGATGTAGCATTAAATAGTGTTGCAATTGCTTATCCCCTCAGATCAGGGTACCTGTTTCCGCAGTAGGACTAGAAGCATCATGACCCTGTAGAGACTCTGATTCCACATGTTGCACTGCTTCATGAGGGGTCTTCTGCTCATCATCTGCAGCAGACTCAGCTTTATTCTCCAGTAGGTCACCAACTGAATCTCCTGTATTCTCCAGCTCCACTCCTGTACCTTGGGATAAGTGAGAAGAACTCTTTCCTGTTGCAACAGGAGGTGGCATTTCTTCCTCATTGATTTTTTTGCCTTTCTTCACTGCAGCCAGCATGGTTTCTAGTGTCTGGCAGAGATGGAACAGCAAAGTCAATAGGAATTTTCATCAAACATGCTACTAGCATAAAATCATTAAAACACAAATTCATTCCCTTACACCTGATGAGATCTGTTACACACATCACTACAGGCTGCTGCCCTTTAGCTCTCTATTTCCCTGTAAGGCCAACTTCAGTGCTAGTGAAAGGTGTCCAATTATCAGAGCAACACAATGCAAAGGACTTGCTACCCAAACTACATAATTGCAAGTACCTCAATACCCAGAATTGCTGAATAACTGATGTGGCCCACTCAGCTCTGCCACAGAAAGTCACCAAGGAAGCCATTTATACTAACTGCAGATGGATTTTGTGCCTTCAGAATAAAACACAGTACTGTGAAATGCCACTGCCTATGTGGATTTAGGGAAGGAAGGAGCGTGCGTACCTGCTTAATGCAATGAGAGACGCCATTAATTACTAACAAAGGAAATGGAGCTTCAACTGGTGGTCTATGGCAAGCAGCTCTCATCATATGTAACATGGGTTAACTGCTGCTCATATTTTCAAACCCCTTCCTCCAGCACAAATATTACCTTCCTCAGTATGTTGTAGTGTTTTGTTTGAAATGTAACGTTCAAAGACCACCATGTACTTTAAGCCAAAACAAAAATTCTACTTCTTTCATCTTCCACAGAAACCAAAATAGAAGCACAGAAAGACAACAAAATAATCTCATCAGTGCCAGAATTGTTGCTATTTTTGGCTAGCCATGACATTGTTTGACCTATTAAGCAACAAGAGATACAGGGACCGACAGCATGCAAGATGGGGGTTCAGACCAGTACAGCAACCCACACACAGACCTCTCTCCTCCACATGTGGGATGACAGACTGACGGGAAATGGAATTAAACACTGAGATTAAACTTCACAGTTCCAAGAACTAAGGACACCTTTTGTTGGCATGTCATTTTGCTAATTAAGGAACTGTGAGCTGTGAAATGCGATCTGCTCTATTATCCTTAGTTACACTGCCTAGAGACAGCGCAACTCCCTGCCTTGAAAAATAAAGGAAGTGGCAAACAGCGCACTAAGCTTTGGTACTGGATGAAATAAGCTGCTCTGCCCATCTCACTCTCTGAAAGGTCAGGTTAGTTTAATGTACGTTCCTTTCAGAGGTAGCAGGCAGAGGACACATACAGACATCTTCTTTCTTGTGCGTTTCCTCCCCTGGGTTTGACTTCAGCTGCTCTCCTGTAGCTAGTGAGACATTACATTCTTCCCTCAGTGGACAGTGCTGAGCTATAAAGCTTTGCTCAACAAGACCGAGCTGGCTGCTGTGTGAGCTGATGCAGAGGACCAGATAAAAGCAAATAGGGAAATACAGGCATTCTGCACAGCAGCAATTACCAAGCACTACCAACGAACTACAAGCACGCCACCTGGCTGAGAAGATTCAATACTGAAGAGAACACTCCTTGCTGCAATTTTTAATTGCCTTAATGAAAAAATTCTGTTCTATTCATTTTCAAGCACAGCCAATGCACTCATGGAAAAGGTTTCACCTTCCTTTGTCTCACAGAAGTGAGTGGAAGGTTAGTATTAAGGTGTTTGTGTTAGGAATGCTCCTAAACTTTGCTTTAAATAACATGGAACAGCTATCACAAGTCAAATTCAGATCTAGATGGGTGTGTTTAATATCAGCATTTGCCACAAACCTTGCCTCCAGCTACCCATATTACCCATTCAACAGAAACAAAGCTGAGGTATAAAAGGCATTTGAAGTTACACTTTATCTGTATAGTTGTTACATCAAATTGGTAGCAACAAGAAATGCTTTTAAAGTAACTCAAGGCAGCGTATTAGAATTTCTCTCCCACTTCAACAAACCCACACATCTGGAAAGACTCTAACTACAGTTTAGAGAACAGACTTTGTCCCCACCTCATTCACATACCAGATGAACCCAACTCACCTTAAGGCCTCTTTCGTATCGGCGTATTTTGGCCGACTCACCCGACTCCTTTGCGTTAGCAATTGCTGTCCTATAGTTAGCAAGCCTCTTCTCTATTGTCTGTTGCAGCTCACTGGTAACAGCAGGAAGTGAGGTGGTCTCAGAAAAGATAATAAAACAAATCAAGAAAACTTATTTCATCCAACTATATGAGTTTTCCCACAGCACTGCAAAAACAAATACTCCTCTTCCACACACCCTCCCGTTAACCAAGAGCACAAGGCTGGAACAGTCTCTCAAACAGAGGAGCACTTGTACTACCCTAACAGTCCCTGGATCCACCTCTGGGCTTTCTCTCAAAGGCCTAATAGAGAAGAATGGGTGGAGACATGTAGAAAACTCACAGTCACAGGGTAATTGGAGCCATGTGGTTAGGGAGTAGGTGAGGGGAACAGTGAAGTCTCTCAAACACCACACAACAGAGGGTGTGAAGAACTATTCTGGCACAAATCTTGACTTTTTCTCTTCTTATTTTTAAAACACGCTAGTTTACTCCCTTCTGGGCTTCTTCAACCTGGTTTTACTACCAAAAGGGCTCTTTCCCCTCCTCCTACAGCCTGGAATTAGTTCAGTGACAAAAGCAGTCTAAGCAAAGTTATGAGCAGCTACTTACAAAGACTCCACACCTACAGGGGCGTTTCAGATGGCTACTGATGTAATTATTGCCACTATCTCTATAGAAACTCTCTCAGACCCATTTATTAATAGGCCTAATGCACAACAGCACCGGAATCTGTAGCATAAACAGAAACATGGCAGTAACTGAATAAATGATTTGATTGCATGAGGATTGACAACGAAGCTGAGAAAGCTAATCCTACTGAGAAAAATTCCACAGAGATGCCAAGGATGCTGAGTGCTAACAAGTCTCACAATTTTGGCATGCTGCTCAGTAACGGGGAATACAGGAACTCTGGAAGCCTGACCTGCAGTCTGTATGCTTAGATGCATGAGGGACAAGACATGCTTGATTCCAACTGTTTACCTCCTCAATTGTATGCTAACATTAAAAAATATCCTCTGAACAAAGCAAAAAGAAATCACCTGTACCAACACACCACTGGTTTCCACAGAGAAGACACCAATAGCATAGCTTCTCCTTCCTTAGAGGGCAAGAAGACCTCTCCAGACCCTTGTTTATGACCCTTGTATAAGCTGTATGACAGCAGTGATTCAGCAAAACTGTCAGGAACATGAAGCTCTTTCCTACCTGTGGCTGCAGTTCTGGTTCCTCATTTTCTGGTTCAGCAGTGGATGGCTCCATTGCTGTTGTTTCATCCTCACAGCATTCCGTCCCACCTTCCAGAACTTCCTGCAATTCTGCCTAAAGTAAAAGCCAACCAAAGGCTTTTCCTCATACTTCTCTATTTCCTCAAAAGGCAAAATAACATCAAGTCTCAAGCCCCAAAATCTTTGGATGGACTTTGAACCCAAACAGAGAATCTAAAAGTCTTCTATTCCAATCTTTTATTTTATTCTATTTTCATTTTTAAATGAAACTGGTCCCACTTGTATTCACAATAGGAAGCCAGACACCACTTAAAAGCTCCAGGATGACCACACAAATTTGCAGTTTGAGATCTGAAACTGAAGATGCTCAGAGAATTACTTTTACAAAGATCATTCAAACCCAAATTTGAGATTTCCAAAAAGCATCTATTAACATTGGCAGCAAAACCGACTGCTTACCACTCCTTCCCTAAGCCCTGCCAACTTAGATCACTCATTGAAATGACAAAGAATTTTTTAGGAGATGCTCTCTCAGGCCAAGCACTACTCGAAGCAGTAGCTGAACAGTGACAGACATCGCTTTAAGGAGAACGTCCCTGGTGGTATTCCCCCAGCTGACCTGGAATGGGATTCCTGCTGTTCCCCCCAGTTCTCTTCCCTTGCATATGAATGTTAGTTAGGAAACTCTTACGCTTGTGCACAGGGGGCTGGATCCTGCAAAGCTCTAGATCCAGGGAAACACTTTTGCAGTATTTTAGCTTCTCACCACAAAGTTAAGACTTTTTTTGCTAAAGGTAGTTCCATCAGAAATCAAAACAAAACCCAAACACAATAAAGATGCACCGAAACTTCTGGCTAACAAAGTTATGCTTACCAACAGGTCTGTATCTTTCTCTAAGTCTTCATCATCTGCTTCGTCTTCCTCATCTTCATTCAGGTCCTTCATACATTCTGCAGCCATCTTTTCAATATGATCCATTGGCAGAGGAGCTGTAAAAAGAAACCACAAGGAGCCATAAAGCCTAAGTAACAATTTTGCAGTCAAAGGATGTAAATTCTAAAGGAGTTGCTACCAGCTGAAGAAGAGCAGTGGCTTCTTTTGCTTCCTGTTATCAGATACTGCCATAGTTAAATGAACAGTATACTCATGGATAAAGGGCAAAGACTGGGAAGTGAACAACCAGGAAAAAACAATACCAGTATTTCCGAGAGTGACAGTCAAGGCAGTCAGTAAAACAAGAAAATGACTGCACCCAACAACCTAGCTTAGAAATTAGATGCCAGAGAGAAATGATGTCTGTTTACTAATACTAGGAGCTTGAATGGCATAACTATAAGCACTGTAATAGACTAGCTGGTATGGTGGGACACAACAGTGCTCAGAAAGCACAGCCATAAAAGAGAAAGGTACTGTGGTAGGCTTGCACAGTACTGACAGTTAAGACCGGGCAAGAGAGACAAGCAGGACAGGATGAAACAACTGCTTCAGGAAAAATTTAACAGAATTCACCTCAAGCTCTTTGGCTGATTTAAAATACAGATAAATACTTCTACGATATTATTTACAAAACAAAACTAGTAACAGAAGCTCTGCCACTACAAAGTTTTCAATTTTTCAAGGAAAAAGTGGAGAATAATACTATTCTTGGGTGTTACACCAAAACCGTATTCCTCAGTTAAGATAAAAATCAGTGTTAAGATAAAAATCAATGGTGGCACAAGAGAAAATGAATATAAACTGTTGATAAATAGACCTCATCAGAACTTTCAGTGCATGAAAGGGAATTACTGAGGCAGCCTCCGTCCTCAGTAGGAATAAACATCTGATTTTATTTTGAGCTGATGCTAGGTACTTATGAAAGGGATTTATGACATGACTGTCCATATTAACAAGGCCTGGATTCAGCATCCCCATTAGGTCTATTATGTGTCCTTTGCCTCCTGTCAGTTTACCCAAACAAATGTAATTCACTCTTGATGTAGCCCCTGATTGACAGAACTAACTTCTGACTCAATATGGAAGAGAAGTGGCCCACAGCCATCCATCCCTAAGTGCCAACAAACTACTTTTTTCCCAGGTTCTGTCCCTTTTTTTCTCTCCCTCATGTTGAACTGATTTGAGTTAAAAGTATTCTAGTTCCCAAAGATCTGCTGGTACGGATTTTAAGTGAGTTAGCCCAACAGTTAAATGCATGAGATGCAAAAACTTGCATTAACCATCCCAGCACACCTACCAGTGAAACTTCTGTTCACATTTTCTTTTAAAGCCCAAAATATGTTATTCTATGTATTATAGCAGCACATACACCTATAAATCACAACAAAGTTCAAGGCATTTACCATAAATGGTGCTGAGCTGAAAGAATTCCAATGAAACACCAACTAACTAAATCACTGGAGTTGTGTATAGGGTTTGCATTATGCTTGAGACTCCAATTGCTGATCCATTTTCCCAGTATACAGTCTACAAGAATGTCTCTCTCTCCACCTCATGTTAAACTAGGTATGTATCCTTTGAATATGATGAGGCATATTAACATCAATTTTGGAGACATATGAACAACACAAGCCTTAAGCCAAACTCCTGGTTGTTACAGCTGTTAACATGACAAGCAAATTATCCATATGTTGAAGACAGCCAGAAAGACAGACAAGGAAATCTTTCTACCTTGAAAAACTATTTGTTTTATACATCAAACACCACTGCAAAGTCACACTTGGCATACAAAAATAGAACACTCCACATCAAGGCATCATACTTGTCCTGAGCCTAAAAGCAGCAGCAGAACACTGCAGAGAGAACTGCCAAGCAAATCAGAGAAAGTGCTGTTTCTTCTGCCTCTCTAGCTACACTTCTTCATTTTCTGCATTGCTATCTCTTCTAACTCTGGTCTTCACACTGAAAACTCTACTTAACTCCTCCTTGCAGATTTCTCTACTTCATGCTGTGGCAACCACATCTTCCTTAACTATCAGGTTCCTTCACCAACTCTCCAAGGTGAATCTATTTGCATACAAACCCCAACCATCCACATAAACGCCTCTGATACTTCCTGATGCAGACACATGACTGTGACTCACAAGTGTCATTAAATGTTGCATAAAATATACATCTTCAGGACAGAGCTTTACAGTCAATTTAAATGCATCTTAAAATGGATCCCATCTGTCTGCTGCGTTTGCTGAATCAGCTGAAAATGAACCTAGGTACAAAGCTGGTTTTGTTCATATAACCTAACCAACATATCAGTGCTTCAGTATCTGTATCAAACATGTTGCTCATGGATTTAACCTTTAGCAAAACTCTGCAACTAGGACAGTAGGCCATATCCAAAGACAACTGGCTGTACTGCAAGGCTCAGAGTGCTCCTTACATGAAGCCCTGCTAAAGGCAGAAAAGCTAGTCAAGCCTTCTCAGCAGCTCTAATCCACAGCAAGCCAAGGCTATGATTTCAGACATCCAAGTGGCTGATCAGCTGGCATTTATCAGTCACAGATAGCAGAGATCTCTGTACTTAAGATGCTGCAACAGTACAGCTTTTGCTGCCTGTTCTTCAAGGTAGAGGGAGAGATCACCTCCGCCCCTTTGGAGCTCTGGAATGTAAATCCAGAAGTGAATTACTGCACCTTGTCATAGCCAGAAACTGAGCACTTGTATGTACTGTACTGGATCCCTCTTTTTTGGTCCTTCTCCAGACAGGATCAGTTTCCCCCCTGTCCTTAGTGTACCCTCCTCCATTCCAGGCCCCTACCATGCACCATGCCCTCATCACTACACAGTACCAGGTCTGACGAGTCCCCAGTGCCAGGTATCCAGTTGCTCATCCTCCATGAGCTTCTAATCTACATACTCACAATTCTACCAGGAAAACAGAACAGCTGGAAATGATTTTGATATAAACAGATTTATGAGCCATAGAACAGAATCATAGAATCACAGAACACATAACTTTAAAAGGCAGAGTAAATCTTAGTTTTGTACTGTCTGAAGTTTCATTTCCCTCATATGAATAGAGAGACTGAAAAAAAACATAAGGTGACATAAGCAAGGCAGGAAGGAAGTCAGCATTTGAAAAGCTGACAGTTCAACGGACACAGATTCACCCTCAAAACACTTTCCTGCATGTTTTAACAATGAGTAACCTTTGCCCAATGGCAGAAGTTCTGCTATCGCGTTTCTTAGCACAGTTATGCTTATTAGATTTATGGCTTTACTACAATCTTGACATCTGGAGAGTGGAAATGATTTAAAATCTAGTTTTAAATACAAACCCCTCCTCTGCCTCTCACCAGTTACAGTGTGTAGACAGTCTCTTTTTCTAAATAGTTCAAAATTCTTCATTTCCCTCCAGCTCTATGTGAAGTCCCTTCAAATATTACAAGCAACATACTGCAGAACTATAGCAAGGGTGGCTCCCACTCTCCTTGTCCCATCTCAACCACTTCCTGCCATCCCTCCCTTGCAGCCACAGCAGCATTCAAATAAGCAGGTAGCAAACCAGATCAAGGAACTGGTTCAGGTGATAATCCAGCACAACAAGGGAAATGTATTTTTACAGATCAGTTTCCTGAAGCAGCTCAGCCTGCAGCTCTGTAAATATGTACAGCAGCAGCTTAGAGGCAGAGCATGTGCACTAGGGACTGCCCCTCTCAATGCCAGCCTTCATTACCAGCAGTTTATAGCAACCCTGTAAACCACTGCATAGCTGCTTGCAAACACCATCAGACAACATTAATGCATGCTTAAAATGTTAAGAATAGTAAGGATCCAGTCCAAGAGACACTCTAACCTCCTGTCATTTCATCAGTTTCACGATCTCCCTCTTAGGATATTCATTGCTGTAACAAGTACCAATATTTGAGTGCATTCAGTAAATTCAGTTTTTAAACAACCCAAACATAACAACCAAACAACAACTAACCCTCCATAAGAAACAACTCCCTATTGATGATTTAATTCATTTAGCACCTACTATACCTTTTTATGGCTTCATAGGCTAAACAAGCATGTCTTTAGTCATTAAACTGGCTAGCCATCATGCATCCTTATCCTGTGGCTACAAGAGCACAGACAAATAAAGCTTGAGCCCATCTTGTGGAGTTACAACTTAAACCTTTCAAAGTAAAAGAGTCGTTGCAATTTCAGCTTCTATCAGTGATGAAATAACATTTTAGATAAGACAGTGATTTGTAAGTAAGTGGCTTAATAATTTTATTCTGGTTGTCAATAAATAAAATCCAAACACTACAACTTACTTTTCACTTTTGGCTTTGACTTCTCTTCTTTCACTTTCACTCCTGTGATAGCTGCAAGCTCTGCTTCAAGGTCCCCATCATCCCCACCATCCTCTGCAGCCAGCAGCATCTCTTCTGGACTGAAGTCTACAAAAAGCCCCAGCTGGAGCCAAAGGAAAATAAAATACTGCAGTTAGAATAGAGATGACACTCAAACCCATCACACTGCATGGATTACTGAAACATTGTCATGCATTCTGGATTCTGCTCCTTGTTTTTAAGGCCCACTCTCATACCATTTCTATTACCAAAATAATGCACACCAGGCGTTAATCACTGACATAAGGCACATAAATCTTGATAAGCCACAAATACTCCCTCTAAAACTCCACAAAATCAATGATTCCTTAAAATCAAGACTATTTAACAGTCTGACATAATAAAGCAAAACAAAATGATGTCTGTTATACTGAACCTCATGAAGCAGATATCATCAGGGAAGTTCAGGGCAGTTCCTGCTAACAGCTAAGCCAAAAGGTATGCAATCATCATTCACACAATACCAGTCTGACGTGTACACTGCAGAGATTTCCCCCTTGTCTCTTGGAAAAAGCTATGTTCACATACACAGAACTGCTCTGTACTTCTTAACTCAGTTTGTAAATCACAAACACGTGGAAGATGCATGCATACACACAGCCTTACAATGTATTATGGATTACAAATCCAGCAATGCCTATGGTACACTGGGGAAAACAATCAACTGTCTGGACATATCATCAGCTAAGCAACATATCATCATATGCTGCTTATTGTCATACCATCAGCTAAGCAACAGCATCTCAGGCAATCTTATTAATAACAGTAATCAGAATTTGTCAAAGTAGTGCATTTATCACTCAATTGTTGTACAATATGCCAAAGGACATAGGTATCAGAGAAACCTGAGGTCTCAGACTAAAAGGAATTCTTCTACAATACCTTTTTATCGCAATTGTTAACATTGCTGGTTAAGACACTTAACTGCCCCAGAAATAACAACATTTTTATTCACAGTATGCTAAGCTTTTTTATAAACATGAATTAACTGAATTAGGTTCATTCTCTGAGGTCAGAGTAACTTTCCTCAGACTTTTTCTAAGCACAGGCCTCAGTGTGACTTATCCATCTTCACATGACCAAGAAGGCAGCAGTGCAGCCTCTCTTAAGGCAAAGGATTAAAACTCAGTTGTCATTATTACAAGAGTTAACAATCTCCTCCTGCCTCTGAGGATGTGCAGCGCTGCCAGAAGCTGAAGCTGCCTTGTGTAACAACCTTTTTTAACCCTATAGGAATCAAGATGTTGGTGGCTACCGCCTTGAAATGTTTTATGACTCTCTTTCAACCCTTCTATAATCCCAAAGAAGAGTGTGAAACATGGCTTGAGAAACACGGATTCCAATGACCACAACCAGGATTCCAAAGCAGCAGCTATTTGCTAGCCCTGATCCTGCAAGGCACTGGGCAGATCAGTTAGCCACCTTCTGCCTTACTTGTCTCCCTTCTGTAAAACAAAACTAATATATTGGCAGTCTTGGATAGAATGGAAAGAAGATCAGGATACGATTTAGTTAGGAAATATTTATAATGGAGATCTAAAGATTAAAGTGCTCTGGAACATGAACACACCTTATACCAATGTGCAAAATGGATCAGGAGCACACTTGATCCATTCTTCACTACAAGTGTAGACAGTTAAACAAGTGTAGTAATGAATTCAGTCAAGAACAGAATCCAGCAATTCAAGCATTAAGTCTCTCAATCTGTTCAGTAAGCAGCATTTCCAATGAATTTAATGGTATTAAATAAATGCTTAATGAAGCAGAAAAAGAGGTTCTAAAAAACTTGCATTTGATACACCACACAGCACAAAACCAGTTTAAATTGAGTTAATTTGCAAGTGAGCAAGCTATTAGCGTATCTGCGTCAAGAAACAACCCTCTACGCTGTCAGACAGGCTGAATAACCAACTGTATTGAATCAGTAATTAGTAAGGTATGTTAATCAGATCCTTTGTTTATTCTTAATCTTTTTAGAGTGTGGTTCCTTTTTTTTGGAAAGGTGAAAATATATTTTCACCGTTATCTTCTCCCTTGCTCAAATAGACTATCTATTACCTCTCCAACTCAGGAACACAAACTTTCATACTACAGCAGTAGCAAAGTTACAGATCTCTAACTAAATGATTCTGTTTCCAATATGAGAATGCTGGTTCCTAAGAAATCACCAAAAGAGAACATCTTCTCTATTTTCTCTATTCTAACATCCTATTCCTATGTCTCTTTGCATTTCCTTATATTTTTTTATCAGTGACTCCTCCCTCTTGTTACCTGCCTTTATCCTATCTTCAAGTTTCTAAAGTTCCACTGTGGTTCTAACAAATTCTTTACCTGCTCCACCCAGAATTTGCCTTGGCTGTATTTCTGATTTTGACACTGTTGCCTGACTCCCCACACTGGCCAACCATGACTAAATCGTGTTTCTCTCCTCAAGGCTTCTGAAACTACAGCAAAAGGTAAAGACTGTGAAAACCCCCCAACAGACACACATATATCTAAACTCACTTTTAGTGTGACACAGACTTATCAGTCTACCTGTTCCAAGAAAAAATTACTATATACTAGGAAACTGTTTCTGGTGTAGCACCTTAATGCTCTCCCATATGTGCCCCTGAATTTGTTACCTGATACTACAGTCTTTTTATTTCTGTCTTCTTAGAGATGCAAGACAAACCTTGGTATAGTTATTGAAGTTATTAATAAACCTGAGTATACCCGGGGTAGTAAACTACTGTAAGCATGAGTCATGAGGTCTCCTACAAAGATTACAGCATTACAGCATTGCAACATTGTGGCTTCCCTGCAAGACCTCCGCTGTTGCATATCAGGTATTTACTTTGAGAAGAATGTGCTGAAAGAGAAAGCAGGAAAACAGGCACCACGCAATTTAATTTTGCCATGGTCCTGCAGTATCTTATTAACACATAGGAAGATACCAGCAGGAAAACAGCAGGAAGAGGCCTGAGCTGTGGGAGTAGGTTTCCCTACCTGCTTTGCAACCACATCTCCCTGGCCCTTTACCTTCCTTACCTGCTTTGCAACTGCAGCTCCCTGGCCCTTTGCCTGAGGGCTTTTCTTAGGTCTTCTGCCAAGCATGTTGGTTCATTAATTTCAGAGGGCTGTGTCTCTAAGGGACTGAGAGCACACGAAACTGAACGTCAGTATCCCCACCTGTCTCAACGCACCGCAAACCGGACGAAGACAGGCGGCACAGAGGAGGCTGAGCACACCCCTCTAGCACCCCCAAACACCGGGCAACACCAGGAGAGGGGCGAAAGGGACACACACACCACGGAGCACACTCCCCAAGGCCCAGGCCCGTCAGTGCCGCCCTCCCTACAGCCGCAACCCTCCCTCCCTCCGCCTGAGGCGGCTCGCACCCGGCCCGGCCCCGGAGGCGAGCACCACTCGCACCCTCGGGCAGGTCAGCGGGACCCCTCCGTCCCCACAGCCCCGTGAGGGCGGGGCAGGCCCGGCCCGCCCCGTACCCCTGCGGAGCCCTCCCCGCCCCGGCGCAGGGAGGAGCCGGCGGAGGGGATAGGCTGAGAGCGGGGTAAATAACCGCCGCCTGCCGGCCAGGGGCACCGCGATGGGTCAGCCCGTAGCGGGCAGGCCCCGGCTCACCTCGGCCTTCTGCAGCCCGCCCAACGGCGCCCGGTGGAGCACCTCCCGCCCGGCACGGGGACGCCTCGGCCGCGGCTCCAAGGAGGCAGCGCGCCTGCGCGAGGGGGCGGGGCCAGCGGAGGCGGGACCCTCCGGGGCCTCACAGGGCGGCGGGTGCGTACTATGGCGGCGTTACCTGAGGTAAGGGGGGCGAGGAGTGCCTCTTTACAACCAAAATGAACCCCAAAAGCACAAGGTGGTTACTTGGATGACAGTTTATTATGGTGTTTTTATTTTCCTGGTAGGAAACAGCCTCCTCCCTTCAAACGCAAAGTTCCTTTTCATTGTATCATGAAGTTTAAGCACATTTTAATGTGTCTTTTATACCCATTGAAGAAAAGCTATATAAACAGCAATGCCACTAAGACGGCACCAGTTTTAAAAGAAGGCAGTGATGGAAGCAACCCATTCCAAGCTTCCACACCTCAGCTGAAAGGGGACCACTTACCAGAATATCTTAAATAGTTTGATTTCAATTATTTTAAATGCTTTGAAGCAAATTTATTATACCAAAATATACACCAAATATTCCAGCCAGCTATTTAAAAAAATACATATCGCTATTTTGTCAGTAAAAATACACATTAAAATATTAAAATACATATTAAAACCAGTAAAACCTCTCTTTTCCTATTCATCCTTGAGGGCATACATGACATCGTCCTGGCTGACATTGAGTCGCACCCGCAGCTCAAGGTACTTAGCACTGGACTCCACCAGCAAGAGCCTGCAGGCACCAAGTCTTGAACAAATTGCCATCACTTCTGACACTGTAGGGCTTGGGATGCCTTCCATTCTACACAGAGCTATAAGGTGATGATAGATCTGTTAAGAGAGAGAACTAACTGTTAGGGCTTTGTTGAGGAACAAGCAGTTCCAAGCTGTAATTCCCTTTTTCATAGAGCCAAAAAGCAAAACAATTTGCAAACCAACTTGTCTGCAATTTAAGTAACTGGATCATTTTACCTGTTATTACACCTCCTCTTGACTGGGTGGGCTAAAGTTTACCCAAGCAGATTAGGAGCTGCCATACAATTACATACCAGTTCAGTTCACTCAGAAGTGATACTCAGGCCCAGTGGCTGGTAAACACAAGTCACACTGACTACAGACATAGAATCACAGAATAGTTAGGGTTGGAAAGGACCTTAAGATCATCCAGTTCCAACCCCCCTGCCATGGGCAGGGACACCTCACACTAAACCATATCACCCAAGGCTCTGTCCAACCTGGCCTTGAACACCACCAGGGATGGAGCATTCACAACTTCCCTGGGCAACCCATTCCAGTGCCTCACCACCCTAACAGGAAATTTCCTCCTTATATCCAATGTAAACCTCCCCTGTTTAAGTTTTTACCCATTACCCCTTGTCCTATCACTACAGTCCCTAATGAAGAGTCCCTCCCCAGCATCCCTATAGGCCCCCTTCAGATACTGGAAGGCTGCTGTGAGGTCTCCACGCAGCCTTCTCTTCTCCAGGCTAAACAGCCCCAACTTTCTCAGCCTATGAAAGATCACAGCTTAGAAAGGCATGATGCACCTTTAACCACAGGATAACACACTTCTCAAGTCATGCAGACTGGTAAATCTGCAGTAAGAACTAGTTGGGGTCTTCTGCTTTGCTATTTAGAAAAAGCAGATGGAAAAACTTTGGGTGTTAAAGGAAAACCAAGGGGAAAACAAACCAGTCTAACAAAATACTTTCTGAAGTTTGAGTACTGATCGCAGAGCGTATCTATGCAATCAACTGATGCAGATGTTCAGGAGCCAGTAACAGAAAATGCATTAATTAAAATTTAAAATTATGAACCAGCAGAACCAGAAAACTGGCAGGTTATTTTATATATCTAGCTCTAAACATTTTTCCAAGTGTTAACATTGAGCTTCCATACTGTGAATTATGACATTGACTCTGTGCAGAGACTTCACAGCACTGCTGGTACCAAGTATTTTATGGGCCTCCTAAAAAAATTGATATCTCTGCCTCTATTGAGAAAGTGCTGTGGAAGTTGGAATCAACTTTCAGTTTTCCTCCTTGAACTACATTGTCTGATTATATTATATTGTCTTCCATCAAGTTTTAAGACTAAAAACTCCAAGTATTTAAATAGTTACGCTTTAGCCTGACCAAAAAAAGAGGGTGTGTAAAACTAAGGGGTAAAAGTGCCAAAATTAAGGGGGGTAAGACTCAGAACACAAAGGTACCTGTTGAACTGTTGCCTCTTCAACTCCTGCCCTGTGAAACTCTGCTAAAATTGCCTTCAAAAAGATTTGTTCATGGAGTGAGGCATTCCTGCATATCAAAACAAACAGACAAAAGTCAATCTGTGAAGTTTAGAACTTATGAAACATTAAAGTCTGGAAGGGAAATTATTGCTTGGTAACTACCTATTTAAATGCAGGTTATCCTTCTACCATAGAGGGGCAGTCTGTGTCAACCAGCCATCGTATTACAGCCTGCAGCTCTGGCACCACAATGCACTGGCATTTCATGTCATCTCACCTCTTTCAATGTATCTGAACACAGCATTTCATTCCATGCATCATAAATGTTCTGCGGTGTGTATTGATCAACTCACATTCATGAATTTACAAATTAACATTGAGGCTTCCAGGCACAAGTAGCACATTAAAAGCAGAATATCCAATTTTCATCCCTCAGTTCCCCATCTTTGATGAAACAGTTTGGGGTGTTTTGTTTTTGACCAGAACTGGTAAAGCATTTTACCAGTTCAGCTTGTGGAGACCACTGAAAGTCAACAGAATTTCTCATTCCCTTAGGAAACCTTTTGGAAGTCCCAAGAATCTATTTATGTTAAAGAAAGAAACCAGTTCAAATGGGAACTTCTTGCATCCTGCTTAGGCATCAGTGGCTGCATCTAAGCGAGCAAGGATGGTGGCATAATACAAGCAGGTATGTAGAGGGGAATAGTTTGACTCTTGAGGACCCGATGACTACACTATGCACCTCTGAGTGGTTTTTCCTTCAGTTTGGCTCTCAGTCTGGTCCATTAAGCCGGTATTAGTAGTGTTTGTAGTTGTGGGCACATGAGTAAATTCTCTAGATTTAGTCCCAACTGAAAGGAATTCAAATATACTTACTTGGAAACTGCTGCCTAGTGAAATCAGTGTACAGTAAGCAGGGACAAACAAGAAATTCCAAAAGCCCCCTCCTGATCTAAACATCCTGTATAAACCTGTACAAGGGTTTCTGTGCCTTTGTTTCCCCTGTCTTAAATTCCTGTTTTGTACCTCTCTCTCCCAGCTATGCTACAAGGTTTGTTTTGTATCACGCTTTAATAAAGCACAGTGCCTCACATATGCTCCGAAACAGTGGTGAGGACAGACTGAGTGGCTTTGGAAAAGAAGTGAAGTGAAAGAGACATAAAAGCAAGGAGATTCCTCTGGGATGTTTTTACCTGATTGCATTTACATATGGTGATGAGAACATTTCATCTATGGCTTCAGTCACATGGGCCATCCTGACTATCTCAGGAGTTCCCTTTTGGCTATCAAACTCACAGATCTCAGTGGCCCTTCTGCAGATGTCAAGACAACGCCTGGCATCACCAGACAGTGCTGCCACCTGGAAGTGAACAGGACAGGTTTGTATATACTACAAGTTGAAAAAGAGTATAGAAGAATCAATAGACAAAATCCAATAAAACAACCCAACCACAAAACAGAAGAGCAATGCTACTGTGAACTGTGTTATTCAAACTGGGATTCTAGGAACGATCTCACTGACCAAACCCAACAGAAGTAGCCCTGCTACACCATGATTTGGTCCTCACAAATTCAAGACTGATCTTTTTGCTGTAATCACAGAAGTCAGAGGTTAAAAAAAATAATGTAGGAAATTCAATCCACTGCCACACAGGGTTTTTTTTAGGATCATCCCATGACTCACATTATACCAAACACTGGAGAAAGCTGACATCATTACACATGACTTGTCATATCTCCAGCTCTTGGAATATACTCCCGCCTTCACAACGTAGGTGGGAAATGCAAGGACACTGCTTTAGCAATGTTTCCTGCAAAAATACCCTGTATACCTTACAGAGAGCATAATGTGAGATCTGCTACTTGCACCCCACTTGTCTCCAATACAGAACCACAGACCAAGCCTGACTACTAAGATTCTCCCCTGCTGTACTCCACACTCTCTACCTAGCACAACACAGAGGATGTACATCTGCACTGGGCTTACCTTTCTGGAAACCAGCTGAATTGCATCCTCTTCAAATGCGTTCATGTTGTTCAGTCTGGATGAAATAATTTGCTGTAGCTGTTTGTAGGTGTAGGGCTGAAATGACATTCTGGTGAGGCCCTATAATAAATAATACAACACAGTGAAAAGAGTTTGTAATGCTTGAAAACTCTCAACTGCTCAAGCATAGCCTGTGTAGTTGGTTTTATTTTCTCTACTAGGAATACTCTCTTTCACATCCTTCTCCTCCAGTGGATATGCTCCAATCAGTTGCTCCACTTTGTGAAGTAAACATGCAAATCCACTAAACTGACTAAGTGAGGATCCCTGTTGGAACTCGCCACTGAAAGGCCTGAGGAGCAAATGAAGTTGCTATCAGAGTTCAGATTTCCTCTTGCAAAACTTGTAAACAAGTCGGAGCCACCTAATATGAAAACCTTTTGATTACAACTGATGTACACTCTTTTTTAACACAGAAACAGCAGAAGCTCTGAACGAATATCCATCTTTCCTTTAGCAAATCTGTATACATGTATAGTTATACTATTGACTTCATGTTAGCAATCAAACTGCTTTCAGAGGAGGACTATGTGTTAGAGATGGTGCACTGTCTTTCATATTCTACAGGAGGCCTGAGTTTTGCATTTCTTATGCAAAATTCTTCTCCCTTGTGACTATATGGACTCAGCTGATCTGCAGGTTTAGCGGGTGGAGGAAAGCAATTCACACACTGTGGAGCTATTTGAGTCACGGAAGGTTGGAGGCACAGAGCACTGATTTTCACAAATCACTTTTCAGAGCAGCAATAAAGATATAACCCAGGAAAATGTATTCAACATCTAACTTTCTGTCCAAAGGGATCCGACAAAAGGAATCTACAAGCTGGTG